TTATCAGAACTTTTTCTTGGGTTCCCCGTGTTTGCTCTTTCATTTATTTATTAAAGGCAGAACCCGCGATTATTCGCCATCTCAGATGGTGGATTAGGGGGTTCCATATAGACGACAAGGGGTTGAGTAACTCGACAGTGAAGAAAAAAGCACAAAAAACATGCCACCTGCCCTAGATAGAACCCCATTTTGATCCCAGTTTGTACGTGCCCAATTAACTCTATCTCCCACACGCCCTCATACGCACAGCTGATTCACCGATAAGAACTCTACGATCGTACAAGTGACGATTTTCATGCTTTTTCGTCCTGCAATCTCGTTTTTCACTGAAAGCCGGGCATTGGAGGCGGAGTCTGGAGGCGGAGTCACTGGAAAAAGGAGGAACCACTGAACCTATATTGCGCTATAGCGCCCCTCCCTTAGAATTTTTGCCGCAAACCGGTACAAGGTTGTTCGTCGCGGACCACTCTAACCTCCTGACGCCATATTTTCAACTTCGATACCTGATCGCGGACCGTGCCTTTAACCCATGGCAGCAGTAGCTCAGCACCAGCCAAAGATATTATATTCCTGCATTGGGCTCATTTTTTTGTTAAAAATCACAATCCTTCCTTCGCTGAACTCTTGTGTAGTTGGTAATGCTGGTTCAGCAAACGGTTCAGGGCAAATATTGCCATTTGAAGGCACGTTTTGCGATCAGCTGGGAGGTGGAGTGCTCCCAAGGCATGAAGTGCACACAACCGCAGCCTCATCGGCCCTACCAAATACGCCGCTCGCAGCTGTGTGTCAAGGCAAGCATGGGATTGTCACCTGTCTGTGCGACGGAGCTGCTGAGGGCAGGTGCTACACGGGCTACCATCTCTTCTACCTTACACGAGCAGAGCTAGGTGTCCAACCACACGTGTAACGTAGACGATAATGCGCCATTTAGTCTGCGTTCATCCTTTTCCTTTTTATTTTTCTGCCGGCTAATTGTGCGTTCGCTGCGGGGCTCTTGACTGTCGGCCCAAGTGATGCACTTTATAGCGTGGCGCGCGTCGGAGAGGTGACTCACCTGTGTATCACTACCATCCCATTATCGTGCTTTTTCGTTGGACGATATGAAACAGCTGTGCAGCTGCGGACCTATTTACCTCACACATGGATGGATTCTCGAAGGTGAGGTAAAGCTAGTTTCGCTTTACCCAACGAATAGACACAAAAGTTAACCTTTAAGTGAAATCATCCCACAGATTTTAGCCGGGTGTACCGTAGCGGTGGTCATTGCGGCATCTGGACAGCAGTTTGAAAGAAAATTGTCCGTACGCTGGGAAACAGGAAGTGGTATTGGAAGTGTCTTCTCAGCTATTTCTTCCCTCAATGACTGGCTAACTAGAAGAATTATACCTGGAACACTCGCAGCCATGTTTTGGCGTCGTTATTTGCCTTCAAGGCAAACTAGACGCTCACCTCCGGTGAATTCTGATTATCACATTTGGTGAGGAAGAAAGTGATTCGCAATTGAAAAAGCGCATGCCATTCACTCAAAATGCTGCAAACGGAACGCGGTGAGTCTGGTAATACCCCGTGCGAACAAGATACTCCGCTGCCCGACGGCCACGTCCTAGTCAGAAGCCAAAACCGCGCATACTCTGCGCCCTCTCGAGTCTGTTCTTTTTCTATTGCTAGATATTGTGTTTCGCGGCGGAGGCTTGGTATCTGCGCAAGAGTTTTGAGGAATAGCGTTGGCCGGATAGTGTATGGAGCTCCCAGTCGAGCATCGCTTACTGCCAACCCGTTTCCGTGCATTTTGAGCGAAAGAAAGGTATGCCTATTGCTGCGGCCCATTCCTCGCTTCTTATGAGAGTATTCTCGAAGAATAACTCTCGTGCCTATCTGATCATTACGTTTCTTCTATGTCTACTATAAACATATTGGCGACAAGGCATATTGATTACTCGAGAACTACGTTGCAAATATGTGGGGGTTCACAAACAACATGGCAACAGCAGTACACTGCACCAAGCAGTATACAGAGGTTCGAAGCGTAATGCATAATGCTATAGCCTCGCTGGTTTCGATTACTTTCAGCATTGACCAGAGTTCGTCATGCCTACAGAGTGATTTCGATCTGGACCTCCAGTTGTCGGAAGTTGTAGAATAACTGACTGCTCGTGGAGTATCAACTTAACACCTTCCCAAAATAAACTTTTTGTACTCGCAAAGAAGTATTTCATTTACCTCTCCGGCGATAATATGTCTCACAAAAAGAAATGTCTGAGAGTCTGTCGGACATAGGAAAACTCACAAGTTGTATTCTCTGTCAATCGGTGGTTATCGAGGAACTGTGGAAAAGTGTTATAAGCGTTTTTATCGTTACTGAACATATCTGGTTTAGACGCTGATCGGTATTTCCTGCCAACGTAGTTACATATTTGCTAATTGGAGTATTCGCGAGCGAAAACCATGGGAACATCCGAGCAGAGACTGGCAAGCCTCCGTACGGCGGTTATCGGATTGTTATTTGTATGCGGCCCAAGGTACACTGCACTACATACATTATCTCATTCAGTGCTAATACCATCTACCATTAAAAAAAACGAAATACGCGGTATAGAAACTGAAGTTGTGACAGAAAATAGCATTTGAGTGTCAGTGGGCGTAACAACTGGGGAGGTGTGAGAACTGTCACTCATGAGGGCCATAGCGCCTCTGTCACTTACTGTGAAGAAGCGAAAGTGGAATAATCTTGTAGGCTGAGGGCCAGGCTACTTGTGCAAGGAAGTACACTTACGAGCTGCTCGAGCTTGTGTCTTCAAACTTACTATGTAGAGGATAAAGGTTGAAGTGTAAGCCGCTAATCATTCCCTTTCTGTGATGCGGCACTCATTCTACTTCCATTCAGAATCGTAGTGGCTTATTTATGCGATGTGGCCTATACAATGACTTGCGGGGCCAGCCGATGTACAAGTCAGTGTTTATCCTCCCAGACGAATCTGGTACCAATTTACCGTCCCCGGAGGGTAGAAGGCTTGGTTGGCCTGGAGCGGGCTGTCGTTCCGGGATTTGACCCCCGAACCGTGCCGTGGTGAGGTACCGCTTGACAATACACCAGCTTCTCCAATACTTACTGTATTCCTCACTCTACTCTGTTATTGTACACCATTGCAGTTAATGTCTATTGTGATGGACATCTTGAACGTTTTCGTGTCGTCGTACCATGACAACCTAGCCGAGTGGTTGCAGTTCCTCTTGTTGAGGCTTCTTCATAAGAGCGGAGTGGAGATCTTACCAACTGTTGTGGTATGTTATTTGCTTGATAATGTTACATTTCATCACGACTTGGTTGTTTATTTTGCAATTTTTTTTGTTCTTGCCCCAATTTACGTTTATTCAGCAACCGCTGAACATGGCTTTGAAAGCTGTTCGCACAACGTTCCGACCGGAACTTCAGTTGATCGCTATTTGTAGGAATATTCAGGATCCCATACAGACTCCGCCAGTTAAGGTATATACTAATTTCCCTTCTATGTTTTTTTTTTGCGAATTTTTTTTCATTTTGACTTTCATCTCAGGTGAAAGGTGCAACGCTCAATTATCTGCATGAGTTATTACAAGGAATGGAACAAGGAACAAGCCTTGGTCGCGATGAAATTCGAGCAGCGGTTCAGAAAATCTTCCAGTGGATGGAAGATCCCAAGAATGTTACCATTAAAGTTGTGAGTTTGTGTACTTTATTTACTGAGGGACGAGAAAAAAAATACTTTTACTCCTTTCAATGTGACCTATTGACGACGAAACAGATCTGTTACAGATGAGC